TGCATCCCTACTACTAAGTTTTTAATATTGCTCTTATTAATCTTTCTGGGTCACAAAATAAACTTTTAATATATTTTCAGGCGAGAAAGTAGCTGTGTAAACCTCAAATATCTGCTCGGTTTATCAAGATATCGCATATTTGCAAAAGTGCTCCGACGTTTTTGGAGACGTCTGTTACCCACCAGCTTGATAGCTCGCTGGGAGCTCGAGGGTCACTGGAGCCACCGAGAACAGTGAACTCCCGGCAAATTGTTTTCAAAACCCACCGCGGACTTTCGCTACTCAGGTTAAACATGATATATAAGTCACTTAGACAACCTAAAAATGTTATTGTTGGGCTTTTTTCAGTGTTTTGTTTGTTCGTGAGTAAATCGGTTTGGCTGAGATTAAAGTTATTAGATTAGATTAGATAAAATTAAACTTTATTAATCCCCCGGGTGGTTTCCTCCGGGATTTTCACACAGCTGAATAAACTTCCGGGCCACGCGACCTTCTGAGGACCCGGCTCACGTAGACAGCAAAGGACAGGTCCTCAGGAGGATGCAGCCCATGAATTTGGACACCCCTAATATACACAAATCATTGAATATCAGGATTCCAACCATTTCCATGGCAACAGGTGTGACAAACCAAGGACTGCTTCTACAAACAGGGTAAATGTTACAAAAGTGTTGAAACTGAAAAAAGCAAAATTATACTCATCAAACTATATGCATCAGAAAACAGAGAAATGATATAAAGTCGCTCGAGTAAATTTATGCTACATACATTCAGCAGCCACTTTACTGCATAGACCTGTTCAACTGCTCATAATACAAATATCTAATCAGTCATTCACACATCTTTCTTATAACTTTCTCCAGAACCAATCACTACAGACCCCCAAACTTCATGTGGCCACCAGATGAGCTCAAGAACAGTGTGTAGAGAGCTTCATTGAATGGGTTTTCATGGATCAAGCCTTAGAGCGCAGTGGTGTAAAGACGCCACCACTGGACTGTAGTGCAGAGAGGAAACGTCCTCTGGTGTTACAAGTCTGACAATCCGGTGGCTTGGTGGTTGCCAGTAGAGCGGTACTGGTCTAACTGCATTGCAACGGTACAGTTTTGATGTGGGATTGTTTGTCAGGAGTTGAGCTTAGTTCCAGTGAACACAAACCTACAACCTGCATTTTTTTATCTGTCCAGTCTGATATGCACTAATCTGAGGAAGTGCACATTTGGAGGGCAGAGAGGTTGGGTCACGTGAATCATTTTACCACTCACACTGGAAAAACAAGTTGAAGTCATACATGTCACAGATTTTTACACATCATTTATTTATATGTGTACTCCTAAGTAGGGATGGGTATCGTTTTATCTGGTGCCAAACCGGTACTTTTGAAA